AAACAATAAAAGAATTCAGCAAAGTGGTAGGTACAACATTCATGCATAGTAATCAACATATAAAATTACCTAGGACACATATAAATAATGGAAAAACATCCTATCTGCAGTAACAAAAAATTAAAAAACTAAGAATTAGGGTAACAAGAAATGTGCAAAGTCATTACAAAGGAAACAGAACAAAACTTGGAAAAGAAGAAAAGTATGCCACATTCCTTAAGAGAAAGACTTACCATGAGAGCACTGTGAAAAGAGAGTCTTATGTGCTTAAGACCACTGCAGCTGGGCTTCTGTTGTTGGCAACCAAATGAAACTGATCAGAGAAATAGTCTTGTTTTATTTTCTCTCCATAACTTTATTCTCCACCTAGCCTATATATTACCTGGTGGTCCAAGCCAAGCCCACCTTTGGACTGCCAGGCCATGGCAAGTGAGTTCTCCCTAGGAGATGTTGCCCTCTGCTCGTTGTTGTGACTTGCGCTGGGCACCTTCAGTCCTCCTTTGTCACACACACACAAACTTAGAAACACCCATTTCCACAATACCCTATCTGGAACATCCTAGGTTTTACTATATTGTTAATACAATAATTGCTACACAGTAAGGGTAATCTCCTCAGGATCAAAGATAAAATAGCAGTTTTTATTATCTTCAACATGTTACCAGACCATTCTTGGGCTATATGCTTTCTGACACTGTTTTGTTTTTTGTTTTTTTTTTTTTGCGGTACGCAGGCCTCTCACTGTTGTGGCCTCTCCCGTTGCGGAGCACAGGCTCCAGGCACACAGGCTCAGCAGCCATGGCTCACGGGCCCAGCCGCTCCGCGGCATGTGGGATCTTCCCGGACTCTGGCACAAACCCGTGTCCCCTGCATCGGCAGGCGGACTCTCAACCACTGCACCACCAGGGAAGCCCCTGACACTATTTTTTATATACTTCTTACCTCCCTACATCCCGGGCATTGTAGTTAAAAAAAATTCCACTGCTAATTACTATTGTCAAAGGAATTCTATATATCAATAAGTACATTTTTTTTGCTGTGGGGGGGGGAGATTACTTGTCAGGCTAGCATTGTGGGGTGGGGCAGGCGATCAGGTTAATCAGAAAGAATCTTCTAGTCCACACAGACCACACCCTCCTTGGAGGCTCTTACCTGACTATTCCTAGAAGCGGCTAGGATCTCTCAGCAGATAAGCTAAGTTGGATTTTTAGCTCTCCCTTCCTCCCTTTTATCTTCTTTCTGCAGAACCTGGCACATGCTAGAAATTCAATAACTGCCAAATGAACAAATGGATGGGATTTTCCTTTCACCAACCTATCCTGAAGCCTAAAGAGGAGGGAGAGCTGCTTAAAAATTCTCTAGAAAGAAACTGCCACCAAGTAGGAGCAGTTCATTGGCACAGTAGAGATGTTAGCCCTAGGGCAATCATTTTTAAGGTCTCTACCTTTCACTGCGTGTACTGTGAAATGCCGCTATTGTTTCAGCCTCTCCACTCCATCTTTCCCTCCCCCACTTTATTTTAAAAGAAATTAAAACATTTTGGGAGGCCCTTAAAAGTAAATGGGCCCTAGGCACTGCGCCTTCTGTGCCTAATGGGTAAGTCTGTTCTTGGTGCCGGGGGACTGATTGTTAAATATTTTGATCATTACCCTTGCTGAGACTTACATTGTACATGAGAAGTAGATAACTCATAGGCCTACAAGCAGGCCTGTGTGGGGCACTTGTCCACCGTGTGTGGCGAAGCCCTGGACCCCCTTCCCAAGAGCTCCCTGTGGCTCACCTCCACCGGATTGTTCCCAGACTTGCCCATTTTTCAAGAAAAACTGGAAATCCTGAGTAGAAAAAAAGTCAAGTCTCCCAATTAAAAAATGATCAAAATTCAAAGAAAAAACCCTCCCTGCTTGAGCCAAACAAAACACCTCTGCGGACTGCATCTGGCACTACTTTGTAATCTCGGTCAAATGTAGCTTCGGGGAGAACCCTTGAAAACAGATGACAGGTGTAGGACTAGAGAACCAACACGCCAGGAAGAGAAGAATGGTATGGGTTCAGTGTGATTGTAAAAAAGTAATACTAATGGCAGTAAATTGTATGATTTTCTTACTCTTCATGTGTAGTCACTTGGCAATAATAATTGTGAATCTAATTAAAAATTTCAGGTTCTGTAAACTTCCAATCATATTCATATTCATGCCCTTTCATCCTCCTTGATTTGTGGCTTGAGTAACAGGGCCACAACTTACATGTACCTATTGAGAACTCTGCTCTGAATCATGATTGTGAGTTTTTTTTTTTTTTTT